GCCTCCCCCCACGAGCCCACCCCAGCATATTCCGACCGACCGTGCCCTTCCCGTCTTCTGTGCCCCTTCTGGTTTATCCCTACCGGCCGCGCCCCCTTCCCTGCGCCTGCCCGTGCCCCCCCTTCCCCCCCCTCCCCCGTGTCTTACTCCGACCGACCGTGCCCCCCTCCTCTCCCTGTCGCCCGCCCCCCTTCCCCTCCCCATTTCCCTCCCCCCTCGCCCCCCCTTTGCTGATTCCGACCGACCGCGCTCCATCCACTCTCCCTGTTCTGTGCTCTGCCCCTACCCCGCGGCATTTTTGCCCCCCCATACAAGCCCCCCCCGCCGGGTTTATTCCGACCGGCCGCGCCCCTGCCCCCCTGTCCTCCGCGCCCCCCCCCCTGGCTTATTAACGCCGACCGTGCCCCCTCACCGCGCCATGTCCCGTGCCCCCCCTGGCTTAATCCGACCGACCGCGCCACCCTCCTCTCCCTGCCCCCCCGCCCGCCCCCCCCCCTTTCCTTCCCCGGGGGCGCCTTCCCAGAGGGTTCGATGGGAGTCCTAGGGAAGTACTGGGAGGCTCCAGGAGGAGCCTTCAGCTTCCAAGATGGAGTTCGAGGGAGGGGCCGGGAAAATCCCAGGAGGCTCCTCGAACGGTCCCTGAAGGCCTGACGATGGTCTCACGAAGGCTGCCTGGCCCACAGGCCCTCGGGATTGTCTCAGGAGGGCCTCAAGATGGCCCCAAGACAACCTCAGGATGGTTCCAAGAGGGCTTCAGGATGGACCCCAGAGGGCCTCAGGAATATCTGCGAAGGCCCCGGGGGGCTCCCGGGCCCCGGAGACCCCCGAAGGTTCAGAACAAGTGCGAGAACGCGGAGGGAGAGTCAAGGAGAGAGAAGGAGCAGGAGACACAGAGGCGAGTCTAGCAGACGGCTCCACCAACATGTGCCAGGACGGGTCAGGAGTGCGCGACGAGAGCCCAAGACCGACCGATATCATGTCACACTGCCTTCGGGAAGCCTCCCCACCTTTCGAAAGCCCCCAGGCCGAACCCAAAGACTCCCTCCAAAACCCCGAAAATGCTTCCAAAGGCGACGCGCACCGACGGACCCGGCTCGCCCCGATCATTGGCCGTCATGTCGCAGCAGTCGCACATTCCCCCCACCGGCCAGGGATTGCCGCCATCGCCACCCCTCCTTGCACCCCACCCGTGATTGCATGATCCTTGGCACGCGTGCCTCGTGTCAGAGTCGCGTCGGTGCGTCTCGGCGCTGCCTCGGCGCATCTGGGAACATCATGCGGGGGCGGATAGGAGCCATCAGCGCATATTGAGACTTGGCCGCTATCCTAATGGCCGTCGGCCCATCCTGACACCGTGCCTGAGTTGCGGGTGCGAGGCCTCTTGTATATGTGTTGGGGGGTCGTGGGGGGCACCGAGAGGGCCTCTTGGAGATGGTTTGGGCGCCGCATGGGGGCTTCTCAGGGCCTCCTCGTCATCTTCTGGGCTTTTTGGAGGCCTCTGGGGCGCGTCTCGGGCCCCCCCCAGCGGCCTCTTCGGGCCTCCCGGGGGCGCTTTGGGGCACGAGTTTAGAATGGTCGGTTCGCGTTCCCCTGCGCGGGCCCGTCTTGGGGCCGTCTCGGGGCCCTCTTGGGCCGTCTTGATCGCTTCTTGGACCAGATTGGAGCCCTCTTGGGCCGTCTGGGGGCCCTCTTGGAAGCGTGCTGGGCTGCTTTGGGGCGGCCTCGGGGGCCGTCTCGGAGCGCCGGGAAGCCGAGCGCGCGAGAAGGCCCAAATCCTTCAACTACCTGTGTAATGTATGGTTTGGGGCTTTTGGGGCTCTTTCGGAGGGCCTCCTGGAGCGCTCGCGGGGCCTCTTTGGGCCTTGTTGTACCCATCTCCGGGCGCTTTGGATCACTCGCGGCCTCGGCAATTCGATTACGGCGCCCCGCGCGAAAATTTATGGCTTCGGAGACGCGAGTGCCGAATACATTGCCAAGGTTTGTTGCCTCGGGGACGCAAGAAGCGCGCAATTCACGAAGGTTTGAAGCGTCGGGGGCGCGGGCACTGCGCAATGCATGACAAGTTATGGCCCCGGGGGCGGGAACATCAACAACACTTCTTGGCCCATGCCCCCCTGGGAACTCTCGGCGCTCGATCCGGGCGCGGTGCATGGGATCACTTTTAAACCCTCTGCCCCACCGTCGCGCGGATTCCAACGGCGCACAATAGGGGGCAACAAGCAGGACTGTAACATTGGAAGCTTGAAACTGCAAGTGGCGCAGGGAGCAGCAATTTCGCCGAACAGTCTGTTGACCCCTGCAAGGGGGGGCAGGCGAAACGGTGGTCAGCGCGCGCTTTCGCGTTTGTGATGTTCCCCATCTGTCAAGTGACGCTCTTCTTTTCTACGGGCGCCCCGCGTAATCATCGTCACCTCGTTGTCGCCATCGCGCTATCGCCATCTTCACTGTCGCAGTTCCATCACGGCCACTGGTCATCATCGTGATCAGCATAATCATTCGCAGCGTCGTCGCCGCCACCTTCATTATATTATCGTCACCGCCACCTTCATTATATCGTCGTCATCATCCTCGTCGCTACAGGCACCAACATCACCAGCACCACCACCATCGCACACACTCGCAAACGCAGGCACATGCATTCTGACATACACGCATGCAAGCATGCGTGCAAGTCTCGAACGGAAGACTCGCCTGTGAATGAACCGCGAAAAAGCTTCGAGCGGGTGCCACCTCCCTGCGGGGTCCCCACCTCCGGTTGGTAATCTGTGGCGACCAACGATATACCTGGCCAGAAAAAAAAGTTTGGTGGCACCGGGAAGAACGATCCCCGAGGATCTCTCGGGCGGGAACCTCGTTCCTGAGCAACCTGAAAGGATATCTCGGGCGCTCGCTCATCTGTGAGTGAATCGAAAGGAAGCCTCGAATGGCCGCCCCCCCTGCGGCGTCCCAGCCTGAAGTCGGTACTCCGAGGCGGCCATCGGGGTGCCCTGTAAAACAACACATTTGAAGAAACCTGTGAGCCAGCATCTCAGGGCACTCTCGGGCGGTCACTGCATGGCGAGGACGTCTCGTCTCGAGCAGAAGCCCCCTCCCGATGGGGCCCGCTTGTTGGTTATCCGAAGAGGCCATTGGACACGCCAGCGGCGCGCAGCTGGAGGAAACTGAAGCCTTCGCATCCGATCGTGAATTGACCAGCTCGCTGCGCTCGGTTGCGGGAAACGCCGAAACGTGTGAGGAGGTTGTCAGTGCGATCTTGCGGCAGTCGGTTGGAGGTCATCAGCGCCAGCACTGCCGGAGTGCGCCCCTCCTCTCCCAGCTGGCCACGCCGTTCGACCAAAGTGCGCATCAGGAAAGTCATCGGTGGCACGGGATTGCCGTTGATGGATCCGCACTGGATCAGGACAACTCGCGGCCATTCGTCTACGCTCTCGCGCGCCATGCCGGCGAGGCGTGACGAGGCGCAGGCCGCCTGGCGAAACTCGTTAAGGTCTGAGTTGGCCACAGACCAAATCATCACCTCACGCACGCACCTCTGGAAAGGCACGCGAACCTGCTGTCCGGGTCCCCCAGTGCGAAGGTGACGCATGTTGCCGTTGCCGCCGCCTGAACCCACGCAGGGAAGGCAGCTGGCGATACCGATCACGCCAACTCCGACGACCTTGCATCCGGACTGCAGTTCACTATACGTGTCGTAGAGGTGATTGAGGCCAGAGGTCCACCAGCGGCGTTGCTCGCGCAGGGTGCCTCGGAACCACCGTGGCAACTTGCCCCGCACGTGTTGCTCCTCGTCTCCGTATTGGGCGTATGCTTCCGTCGCGTAGCTTCGCTGCTTCTGGCATTCGGAACATCCCGCGGCACAATCACGGGAATGCTGCTCGTACGTCGGGTGGTTCCTGTATTGAATACCGCCAATTGTACGATCTTCAGAGGGACTCATCGGGGTCCGGTCCTGCCAGTCTCTTCAGTGCATCCCTGCTCTTCTGTGCCTGTGCCTCCCAAGGCTCGGGCGAAACAGACACCAGGAGCTCGTGACCCTTGACCGACACCGTCGACGCCAACGTTACATCGAACAGCTGCTTGAAATTCGTGGCAAATCCCACAGAGGGGCGCAACGAAGGCGCAGGCTCCGCGAGCTGCGTTGGCACAGTCAGCGCGAGCCAGCGGGGGATCTCCGAGGGAGCCGGCGCGTGGCCGGAGTTCTCGAAGGTGTCGTTGGCGCACTTGGGTGGAACGGGTTGTGCACGTTGCCCGCGACTGGCCCTGGAGGCGGAGGGGCGGCTGTCCAGAAGATGAGCAGGCGTTAGTGCCAGAGCGCGATGAAAGTGGACGCCCGGCGTGGTGGACAGCTGGTAGAATGAACGCGGTGGAGAGCTGAAGCCTGTGCCATCGAAGCCGGGCCAAGAAGAAACAACACATCGCGGCCGTGGCATTGGAGCCGATGGCCCGCTACCAACTGGAAAACGGGAAAACAAGGGTGAATATGGAAACGGACCTTTTCCGGTGGCAGGTGAAGCGGGTGAGCGCGAGAATAGAATGGGCACGATACACTGATCAGGCCTTGAGCCAGCTCAGCGGCGGGCCCAGGCAAGGAAGAGGTGAAATGGGCAGAGCGGAAGCCGTTCAAATCGACCGTTCGAGTAGAGGGAGGAGGAGAAGGAGGAGGAGGAGGAAGAGGGGTGGAGGAAGGGAGGATGGCCCTCGTTGTCGTCGTCCGTCCCGCGGGCTTTGCCCCCCCCCCGCCCCCACTCCCGCGAGAGGGAGAGGAGAAGAGGGAGATGAGGAAGAAAAGGGGGAGGAAGAGGATGATGATGATGATGATGATGATGATGATGATGATGATGATGATGATGATGATGATGATGATGATGATGATGATGATGATGATGATGAAGATGAAGATGAAGATGATGATGAGGAGGATAATGAGGAGGGGAGGACGAGGACAGGGGGAGGGGAGGAGGACCCTCGTCGTCGTCGTCCCCGATTCGTAGACCCGCTGCATCTTCTGGGCAGAGGCGGACAGCACGCTGTCGAACAAGGCCGGGTGGTGCAGGCCCGCCGTGGCAAAGGCCCAGACCGTGTTGGAGAGCTCCTGAGCTGGCTTTGCCGCCGAGACCCGCCGGTTCCTGCCTCCCGCCCAGACCCCCGACGTCATGGTTTGTTCATGACGTCGACCCCCAAGGGTCTCGACCTACTCCCCGGGCCTGGTGTCTTATCCTGAGTCGTGTTTCGAGGGTCCCGAGGGCCCGTGCGGGTCTCCAGAGGCCGAATATGGCCAAAAACCCTGCGCCACGATTTCTTCATCATTCGAGGGGGTCTGGGCTCAGCTCTCCTCCTCTACCGCGACCTCCCCCTCCCCCGCGTGCATCGGCCGTGAGAGCCTGGCTAAGATGGACCGTGGCCAATCCACCCGCGCCGACGCGGCACACGACGGCCTCACTCCACATGTAAGGGCGGCTGCCCACGGCATGGCCGTGGACGAACTTGTAGCTGCCGCAGCGCCCGCTGCTGTCGCGAGCGCTCCGTTGCAAGCAGGTGCAACTCTATAGTTCACCGAACCCGCACCCTGGCGCGCCTGGCTTCTCCGTTCTCCAGTCTTCCCCGCGTGCATCTCCTCCACCTCCGCCCGCATCCTCCTCCTCCTCCTCCTCCTCCTCCTCCTCCTCCTCCTCCTCCTCCTCCTCCTCCTCCTCCCTCCTCCGCACTCTCCTCCTCCACACTCTCCTCCCCCAGCCCTCCTCCGCCTCCGCTCCCTCGCCTCCCCACCCCTTCCGCCTCGCCTCGCCCCTCCCGCCCCCCTTCCGCCCGTCTCATCTCCGTCCTCGCCCCCCGCACCCCTTTCCGCCTCCTCCCCTCCCTCCCCCGCTCGCTATCTCCTCTTTCTCGTCCTGCCTCTTCCCTGCCCCTCCCTCCCGGCGCCCCTCATCCCCCTCCCCCCCCCAGTTCCTCCCTCCCTACCCTGCCCTCCCCGCCCCTTCCTCCCTCCCTCCCCCCTGTCCGTGCCCGACCCCCCTCGAGCCTCGCTCCTGGAGGCGGCGAAGGCCGACGACTCTGCTGCGAACGACGGCCCGCCCGCCTGTGGCTTGAAGCTGGCCAGCGTGCGGACGGCGACGTCACCCAGGGCCTCGAAGAGCCGTTCTTTCGCGCAGCCCGCCTTGGCGAACGCCCAGAGGGTGTTGGAGACCTCCTGCGGCCTCGGCGGCCGCCGCCGCCGCCGTCCCGCCTGCGTCCGTACGTCCGCCCTCCCCCGGGGTGCTCCTCCTCCTCCTCCTCCTCCTCCTCCTCCTCCTCCTTGCAAGGGCCTCGGGCGCCCATTTCGGAGCTTTGCGAGCGGGGAGCGGTCAACGGAAGTGGCGAGGATGTCAGGATACCCTTGGGAAGGTCGCCCATCCTTACCATGCGGGTTGACTGTGGAGTAGGAGCTCGACCACAAGAAACCCTCGACAAGAAGCCCACCCCTGAGACCCCAGGGCGTCCACTGATTTCTGGTGTGGGAGCGTCACGCGCTCCTAAGCAGAACCATCGACACCCAAGAAACCTAGGGCCCCCTGGAGGCAAGCAGGGTGTTTCTTGGCATGGGTCTTCACTGTAGTTGGCGACGCGCACAAAGGGGGTAGGGGGAGGATGGAGTACCCCGTGGGACCTGCCCTGGAACAGGAACGTGGCGCAGTGGGCGGCGCGCACAAGGGGGTAGGGGGAAGGGAGAAATTCCCCAAACAATTATGCGGATTATTAGATGGCGCCGTCCTTGCATCTAGATCTGTATACAAACATACGTATATAAAGATGTGTGTCAGGCGCACGCCTTCTAAGATGCGGCCTCCGTCTAAGAAACCTTACCCCCTCCACTGAGTCCCCTCTGCGCGTGGCCAGCGCGGACGGACCTACACTTTCTCCAAGAGAGCCGAGAATCGAATCGACAAGTCGGATCGGCAATCGAAATGGATCGGATCAGCGGAAATCGGAAGCCGAGTCGGGAAAAGTCAAATCGACGAAAATCGGCAGGCTAGCATGCCTCCAGAGAGAAATCGGAATCCGCATCGGACTACAAGATCGGATCGAATCGGAATGCATCAAACTCGGATCGAATCGAATCGGGGGAATCGAAATGAGCCCTGTTTCTCCGACCTGTACTGCGTCGGAGCGAAGCGGCCGCACTGCCCAGAGACGTATTATCCGTTCGAAGCCGAGGACGAGGTCGCAGCTTTGGTTTTCGGTGGGGCTCGGGCGGAAGCGGGAGCTCTTTCGGAGCCTGCCGATGCGAAGCTCTCGTCCTGTCGCGTCGCCCGTCCCTCCGTGCAGCACAGGCTGGCCACGTGGCCTCGGGACCGGCGTCCTCATCGGTCCCGCGTGCTCGAGGTGAAGCGACCGATAGCCATTCTATGAGCGAAAGAAGGCATCGAGCCAGCTCTTGCTCGGCCTCGCATCCTGCACCCAGCGATCGACCCCTCGTGCAGAGCTCGTGGCCCGAATCCGGGCAACACCGAGGCGGGACTTTCCCCTTTCGTGCTGTGGTGCAGCCCTGGCGGCGGCGCAGGCCCTGCCGGCACACGCCGAGAACTGGACCCACGGCCGATCCTGCCAGCACCTTCGAGGCGAGGGCGCAGAGGCTCCTGCGAGCTGCCCGGGGCAACTCTCGTCGGGAGCGGCCAGGAGGGGGGTGTCCAGGAGGGGGGGGTGCAACTCATGGCCGGCGGCACGTGCGCGGCCCAGCGGGGGGGCCAGGGACGTCATGAGATCAGAAGCGGCGCCATGAAAGCTGGGGAGGAACTATCATGACCCCCGCCGTGAGACCCCCCCCCCTACGGCAGGTTCGTGTCGTGCCGACCCAAGCGTTGGTTTTTGACACCGCAGGGATCGTTCAATCTTGAACGATCGGCCGCTGCCGCAACGTCCGATCGTTCAACATCGATCGATTCTGGGTCGCTAGCGGCGTTCAACCTTGGACGTCCGCGCTGGGGTCGCCGCCAGTCGACACGACACAAACCTACCGTAGTCATCCCCCCCCCTCTTTTCCGCCCCCGATCTCGGAAGGGGAGGGACTCCGACTCGTCCGCCTGGCGCCGCAGAGGCACGGCCTCGATCGCGGCGGCTGCCGCCGACGCCGCCCTCCGCTCGGCGCGGCCACCCGCGCAGCCCGGCCGCGGCGTGCGGCCGCTCGCCGGGGCAAGCCGCCCTCTGCGCGCTGGCCGCGGGCGCGCGCTCACTGCCGTGAGCCTGCTCCTCTCCCCAGTCGGCCACCTGAGGCACTGCAGCTGGAGCCCCGCGCGCAAAAATCCCCCTCCTCCTCCTGCTCCTCCTCCTCCTCCTCCTCCCTCCTCATCTCCTCCTCCTCCTCCTCCTCCTCCTCCTCCTCCTCCTCCTCCTCCTCCTCCTCCTCCTCCGCATCCGCATCCGCATCCGCATCCGCATCCCTCCTCCTCCTCCTCTTTCTCCTCCTCCTCCTCCTTCGATGCCTCCTCCCTCCTCTTTCGATGCCTCCTCCTCCTCCCTCCTCCTCGTCCTCCTCCTCCCCGAGTGTGCCTCCGCATGCGCTACGGCACCAGTTGTGCCTGTGGACGCCCGTGGCCAGACAGGGAGGACGGCTCTTGGCACAGGCCCCAGACACCGGCCCTCCAGAAGCGGATACAGACTTGGCCCTCCAAGTCCTCCTCAGCCTGCTCGAAGCAGAAAAAGACACATGAACGTAAACTGTTGTTCGCGCTCCGCGGGGACTTTGCTTGGATCTGCGCTGGACCCCCCTCCCTGGCGCGCGAGGCGCGCCAGGGGCGGCGCCGGAGGCGCCGCCAGGGGGGGCCTGGCGCGGATCCAAGAAATCCGCGCGGAGCGCCAATAGAGGGCTCCCGGATGTGGTCCGAGTGGATGGGTCCGGAGGATCGCCTCGCGTCGCCGATGAAGCGGCGACGGCGGCGCGGAGGACACCGGGCCCCACACCGAGCCGCATCGGCGATGCAGCGCGATCCTCCGACCCCATCTACTCCGACCCCATCTAGGACACCCTTTCCTACCTTTTCCTACCTTTGCCGCGGCCTCCCTTTCCTACCTTCTCCGCGGCGCCCGCCAGGTACCCTTTGCGCCGAATCGTGTGCATTTCACTTGCTGCTCTTTGCAAGAACGCCACAGTCGCTGACTCAGGCATGGGCAACTCAAAAAAGGAGGAGGAGGAGGAGGAGGAGGAGGAGGAGGCGGAGGAGACGGCTCGTCGCCTCGGGGCAGCTTGTCGGGCCCCCTCGGGTATCTCTTATGGGACCTCTGGGGGGGGTGTCTCTGGAGGCATCCCGCGGCTTGAGCGCCGTCACCCGTCGGCGTCGGCCAGAGATCGTCGCAGCGGACACCGTCGTTCGAAGCACGTCGGCTCTTCGCTCGTCGGCTCTTCGTTCGTCGGACCGTCGTTGTCAACATCGTCGTCGTCGCTCGTAGCTGGTCGGTCGTCGCCACCGCCGCTGCCGTCCGGCCTCCACCCATACATCTTCGTTGTCATGCTCCTGGTTTTGCCTGCTCCTCCTCCTCCTCATTCTCCTCCTTTTCCACCTCCTGCCCCCTCCTTCGTCCTGCCTCCCCCTACTCCTCCTCCTCCTCCTCAAACTCCTCCTCAAACTCCTCCTCCTCCTCCTCCTCAACCTCCTCCTGCTGCCTCAGGCTCCTCCTCCTCATCCTGCAGGAAGAAAGGGAGAGAACAGAGGCGGGCCATCAAGCAGCAGCAGCAGCAGCACCACCAGGGGGCGAGGAAGTCCTGGAGGCAGCGCGCACGAAACCGACTCGGGCAGAGACGGGTGGCAATCCTCCTCCTCCTCCTCCTCCTCCTCCTCCTCTTCCTCCTCCTCCTCCTCCTCCTCCTCCTCCCCTTCCTCCTCCTCCTCTCTTCCTCCTTCTCCTCTACCTCCCCCTCCTCCTGCTTCCTCTCTTTCTCATCCTCCTCCTCAAACTCCTCCTCTACCTCCTCCTCCTCCTGCTTTCTCCTTCCCCCCTCCCCCCATGAGGAGGAGGGCGACAACGAGGACGAGGACGACGGCCCAGGAAGGCAGGAAGGGAGGCAGGCAGGGATTCAGGCAGGGAGGCAGGCAGGGAGGCAGAGAGGGAGGCAGGCAGGGAGGCAGGGAGGGAGGCAGGGAGGGAGGCAGGGAGGGAGGCAGGCAAGGAGGAGGCCGGGAGACAGAATTGCCGCTTGACTTTTGCTTTGGCTTTGCGCTGTCATTCGGCAAACAGGAACGGACAAAGCCAAACACATCCTCGGCCAACTACCCCGATGCCTCTGACAACGGCGGGAACGAGACTGGTCATTGTTTGGCGAGACCTCGTGATCACTCCCGCGAGGGGCTCACGGCAGCCCCGCTGCGAGAATCTGCACAGCCTGACCGACCTGCACGTGTGAGGTAAGGCTGCGCAGCCAGTCTTAGGTTGAGGTCGGGCCTGTCCCTCTACAGGGGGATTTTGGACGACACATTGGAAATACTAGAAACATACTCCGAAAATGCTCAACCATAGCCAAAATAAAAACGTCCCCAGACTATGTCTTGACTATTTGGGAATATTCCTCCTGTAGAGGGACACGCCCGACTTCATCTGAAGTCAGAGTCGCCAGAGTCTGCCCGGGCACGAGGCGGAGGCACGAGAGGCGGCTCGGCCTCTTCGAGGCGGCGGGCAACCGCAGCGCGGGTCAGATCAGATCCCGTTGCCCTCCCCTCCGCGTCGGAAGGAACGCTGGGCTGCCAGGAAACTGATGGGTCTGTTTTCCACCAGCACCACCATAAGTTGGAGGAGGGAGGAGCAGGAGGACGAGGAGTAGCAGGAGGCGCAGGATGAGGAGCAGGAGGAGGAATATGAGGAGGAGGAGGAGGAGGAGGTGGAGGAGGAGGTGGAGGAGGAGGACCCACTTATGGTGCTGGTTGTGAAAAACCACCTGAAGCAGAATGCGCTTGAAGGGCGAGGGAGCGCGACTGCAGCGGACCGCAGAGGACTGCCCGGCATGCACGGCCACCCCGAGGTCCGCCACCGCCTGAATACTGGCGGGGCGAGACCCGTCAGGGAAGGGAGGCAGGGAGGGAGGCGGGGATGGGCAGGCAGGGAGGGGAGGCGGAGGTAGACGAAGAAACAATTCAGAATTAATCGCCGATTCCCAAGAAAATATGGGAAGATATGGGGATTGGGGGGAAGACAAGAGCCCAGAAAATGTAGGAAAATATGGGGAGTCCTTCTATTTGTGTGCATTTATTTGTATACCAGGGCCCCTTCAACAACGCCATACGCACAAACTTTTTGGCGCTCCGCGCGGATTCCTTGGATCTGCGCGGTACCCTTCTCCCTGGCGCGCGGAGACCGCGCCAGGGACGGCGCCGGGCGGCGCCGGCGGCGGCGCCGCCGGGGGAGGTCCAGCGCAGATCCGAGAGATCCGCGCGGACCGCCAAACAGTTTCTGTTCATGGCGTTTTTCTTCTTCGAAGGGAGGGGGGCGGGGATGGGCAGGGAGGAGGGAGGAGGGAGGAGGGAGGCAGGAGCAGGAGGGAGGAGAAAGGAAGGAGGCAGGCCCAGTATACCCATCGTGCAGTATATCGTTTCCCGAGCGTTGTGGCCAGAAGCGTCCACCACGACGCATGTACTATAAGAGTTCTTGGTGCGCGCGTCGCCCCAGGGGGGGGGGGTCGACGCACACATAGTATTAGTGTGTTGGGGTAACGCCAAGAGAGGATTCTGCGGCAAGTTCTGGCTCGTGGCTCGTGCGAGTCAACGCTAATCGACGCTAAGTCGATGTTCATCGACGCCAGTCGGCGCTAAATCGGCGCTGTCTTATCGACTACCAGACGCTGGTCGAGGGTAAACACGGCTCCCATGAGTTGGTACCGAATTCAAGCTTCGACGACAGGGAGATCTTCAACCTCTGACGAAGCCTCGTCGCGAGAATCCTGAAACTTCTGGAGGGACCTCTTCCCCCGACGAGCTCCCGAGATCCCTCCGACTTTGCTGGGGCATGCCCGTCCTTCGTTTTGGATACCTCCAGCTGGAACCCGCAAGCAGCTCGGCAAGAGGCCCGACGTGACGGCGGGAGCAAGCCCGCCCTCCTTCCTTGTTCTTTCCTGCTGCATTACCTCCCAACTCAGATTCGAGCCTTCGTTATCATCTGCTCTCCCGCTGCTCCTCTCTCTCCTCCCTCCCCCGCCCCTTTCCCCTTGCCTCTTGCATACTCCCTCCTATTCGCTCCGCCATCCTCCCTCATCCCACATTGTCCTGCTCAACACGCCCGCTCCTCCCTCCCCAACCCCTTCCTCCATCTGCCTCCTCTCCTCCCCCCTCCTCCCTCCTCCTAGGTACCTCCATCCTCCTTCTTTCCCCAGGCTTAGAACACAGTGGTGCTGGCCGGTTTGACGCAAATGCTGGGAAATGGCATCTGCCTCTGCTAGAACTGCCACCACGGCCACGAGAACATATCCGTATCTATCAATGGACGTGAGCTCCATCCCACAGGCGTACGACTGTGCACTTCGACGTGTAATGCCGCCACGGAGCAAGATGCTTGCCGTGTGGCCCCGTCATGGTGTACCATCATGTTTGCATCTTGACCCATGGAGCTCTCATCAGGTGGCTTGAATTTCGGACACCCCCTCCCTCCTCGCCCACCTCTTTCCGTATCTCTCTCTCTCTCTCTCTCTCCCTCTTACAACCCCACCCCATCCTGCGTCAGACGACAGCGAAGGCGACGGCGAACGAGGGCAGCGAGCGACGACGTGGACGGTGAGCAGCGGCGCCGACACGAGACCCACGACCACCTCATGGGGCCGACGCCGAACACGAACCCACGCAGAACGCAGACGACGGCAGCCGCGAAGACGGCGACGGCGACGGCGGCGCCGCCGACGACCACGGCCACCGAGCCGACCGCGGCGGCCCACGACGACCACGGCGCACGGCGCGCACGCCGGCGACGGCACCGGCGGCGGCCACGACCCGCGCGCCGCCCGAGGCGGCGGCTTCATCTCGCCCGCGCGCGCGGCGAGCTCCTGCGCGCCGCCGCCCTCGCCGCCGCCGCCGCCGCCGTCACCCTCGCGAGGCTCGAGGACCGCTCGTCGACCTGCCTGGGCGCCACTGGGGGCCTCCGCGGGGGCCTCCGCGGGGGCCTCCGCGGGGGCCTGCTGCGCGGGGCGTCGGCGACCGCGGGCGGGAGCGGCGGGGCCGGCCCCCCTTCGAAATCGGGGGAGGCGCCCACCGCCGCGGAGAGGCAGAGAGGTGCCTGGGCCCCCGCGCCCTCCTCCACTGCTGGGCGATCGGAATCCTCGTCGCCGTGGTCGCCGTGGTGGTCGTCGTCGTGGTCGTCGTCAAGGTCGTGGTCGTCGTGGTCGTGGTCGTGGTCGTGGTCGTCGTCGTCGGGGTTGAGGGCGCGGGGCGATCAGGCGGCGGCGGCGGCGAGGTTGGCGGGAGGCTGCAGCGACGGCGACGACGGCGACAGCGGCAGCGGCGGAGGCGGCGGCGACGACGGCAGCGGCGACGGCGGCGACGGCGGCGGCGGTGGCGGCGGCGACGACCAGTGCGACGTCGGCGTCGTCGCGCAGGAGCCTGCCGCGCGCGCGCACATGCCCGTGTGCTCCGGAGGCGCAAACTTGCGCACCGGACCCGCTAAAACAACAAGATTCGGTTGTCGGGGGGGGCCTCATGAACCCCTCCTTGAGGGGCACTCCAGAGCCCATCTCGGTAGCATCGACCCCGATTAATCGATGTATCGCCAGGGCTCTGAGACACTCTCTTCAAGTCTCTGCCCCTCCAAGGAGTGCCCTCACTTCCGACGAGTGCCTGGACCTGCACCTCCTCCTCCTCCTCCTCCTCCTCCTCCTCCTCCTCCTCCTCCTCGACACCAAGATCATACGTCCCCACACAAATAGCGTCATGAATATATACACGACCTTACCCGATCACATCTGCATACATGCATCAATTGTTCAGGCCAAACCGATCCGTAAGGGCCCTGGGGCCGAGATGGGTCAAACACGCCCATCGTGTAAGAGGTAAGAGCCTGTGTGTGCGCGCATGTTTGTTTACGACGCCTGGGCGTCAGTAGAGAAGTCCTCCGAGAAGTCCCTGGACATCGTCCTCCTCCTCAGAAACAAGAAAACGAAGAAAGGCACATCCTTTGCCAAACTGTCGTACACCACCAGGTTTCGCCGCCTTGGTCTGGAAGCCCCCGCTGGGGACGAGGAATGTTGGAGGGAGAACGGACGAGGTGTGCGAAGGGGGGAAGGGGCAATGAGGGGGGAGGAAATGAAGGGAGGAGACGGAGGCGGCAAGAGGAAAGAAGAAGGAGAGCCGGGAGATGACCGAAGGATAGATAACGAGTGCGGGGGAGGAGGACGCCGACGAGGGAGGCGGAAGACAAGAACGACAGTAAGGACGAGAAAGGAGGATGGGTAGGGGGGAGGGAAGGGGCAGGGAGGTGGCAAGGGGGGGCAAGGAGGGAGAAGGAACGGAAGAGGATGGACGAACCAGCAGTCACATAAGAGGGAGGAGGGAGGAGGGAGGCAGGAAGGGGAGGGGGCAGGACGACACAAAAAAAGGGGGAGACAGGAGCAGGACGGCGCCAGCGACTGCTGGCCGATGCCGGCGACTAGGCGAGCCACGCCCGCAGCGGGCGCGCCTCTTCGGGGGGGCAGGGAGGGAAGGAGGGGGAGGGAAGGACGGGGGGGGGGGGGAAGAGGGGCGTGAGGGATCGAGAGGGGGGAGGGGGCGAGGGAGAGGCGAGGGGGAAGGACGGGGGGGGAGGGGAAGGACGGGGGGGGGGGGGGGGAAGAGGGGCGTGGAGGGATCGGGGGAAGGGAGGGAAGGGGCGGGAAGGATGCAGGAGGGAGGGGGGTGAGGAAGCATGGAGCGCCTTCTGCTCCGTCTCGCGCTCGTGTGGCTCCTCCTCTGGTTCCTCCTCCCCCTCTCTCCACCATCTCCGGCTCCTCCTCCTCCTCCTCCTCCTCCTCCTCCTCCGCATTTTGGCTCTCCCCCATCCCTCTTCCACATGTTTCACAACACCTCCACGTCGCATAAACACCATACGTGGGCCGGCCAGGCGTTCCCGCTAAACTCCGACTTGGAATGAAAGCCTCCGGCTAGAACGCGGATGGGGCTCGGCTGCTGTCTAACATGCGCTTCTCGCCCAACGGCCTCCTCGAAAAGATCGGGCCGACGATAACATTGCGCAGCCATTACATGGATGCAGGGCGGTTCCTTTCGAAGGTGGGTTCTCCCGACGGCATCTGCACAGCGTAACACCAAAGCCTGGCTTGTGCAACAGGCCCGCGGATGGCGGGCGGATCTTTCTCAATGAGGGGTGTTTATGTGCGCGTCCTCGGGCATGATGACCCCATCTGGTTGTACCCATTACGCCACGAAAGGGTGAGGCGCAACTTCCATCTCATCACAACAAATACCGACAACATTGCTGTCCTGTGGGGCCCTCTATTCCCATGGGGCGCACGTGAAACACACGAGGGGACTTGGGACGGGCGGATCCCTTTCTCCGCTCCTCCTCCGTCTCGCGCGAGTTCCTCCTGTTCCCCCTCTTTTTTTCTCCCCCCTCCTACACGTAGTGTTGCGGGGGGACGATGCGGGAGGGGGGAGGAAAAAGGAGGGCGGAAACGTGGCTCCCGGGTGCTAGCTTCGCCACATCGGCACAATCTCCGCAGAACATGCACTCCCGACTTTGGCGGGAACCCGCGCCCAACACGATTGAAGGCCTCGAGCCCTTTACAGGTGGGCTCCTGACAGGGCTCCCATAGCCCCTTTTACTGCCACAGTAAGCAAAGTGCCTGCAGCTATCACGAAAAAGCACGCCACGAATAATCGACCTTGCATAAATCTCGTGGCAATGCGTGGCAAGTGGGCGGGGCGACGGGTCATTCTCGTCGGCCGAAGAACCATCAGCAACCGACTGGTCCTCCCCACGGGAGGGGCGAAACGATCGCGCGCGTACAGTGGCCAGGCCAAAAGCCGAAAGCACGCCCCGCTCCCGGAAACGGGCAAAACAAATACTATGATTCATGGGCCGGGTAGTTGCCAACCAACATTACACGCTCGAAGCTTATCAGGGCACTGGTCGGCGCGTTCCGCGCTCGCACCTGTTGACGTCCAATACATTTGCCTCTCTCTCTCTCTCGTTCTCGTTTTCTCTTTCTCTCTCTCTCTCTATCCCTTTCCTTCTCTCCCGGGGGCAGGTGGCAACTTCGCGTTGGATATAAGCGAGCCTCCTCAACGCACGGTTGCCCACGATGTCATATTGGTGCGCGATGGCGGCTAATGCAGGCGGGCGGCAGCTCGCGTAGCCGCTTCCCCGGCACAGATGTCACCAGCTGGCTTCAGTGGCTATTCACTGACGGTTAAAGGCAGGGCGCTGGTTTGAGCTCTCGCAGGGTTGTTCTGGGCCCATCAAAGGTCCACGCCACATTGCCAACCTTCCAAGACATCCTAAAATTGAGCCCACAGGTCCAGCATGTCCGATTTCATGACGCCCCCAAAAGCCTTTGAAACCTGTGGCGACAGGCCAGCAAACAGAGATCATGAAGACACGTCCGGTGGTAGACTGGAGCGCACAAATCAAAACCACAAGCTCTGCCCGTGGCAAAGGATGCTCGGCGGCACCGAGCGCCCCCGCGAAGCAGCCATGGATGCCATTCAAGGCCCTGTTGCGCAAAGACAACCGCACCGCCATAGCCGGGCGTTCTTAGCTTGTCCCCCATGCCGATCCGCTGATTCCCCAAACTCTTCCCTCATCGGCCGCGCGGTCCTCGAAGGGCCCCCAGAACAAGCAATTTCTTGGCCCGCGGGAAAAGTGGCCAACATATCGATCAAAAGGCATGAGCCGCGGGCGCCAGAGGGCGTGGCACTCACTGTCTCTAGCAGCTCGAAGTACAGGGTGGGCAGTGCGCTTAACTACTGGATCTGGCATGCTACCATGGCGAAGCACACCAAAAAACGACGGCATGGGGGCCCGACGCGCTCTCCGCGCCGAAAGCACTCACCGTTCGCAACGGTCTGGTGCCCTTCGTCTCGAAGCCTCTGGTCAGTCCAGTGCCCGCCTCGAACATTCCTGCTGTGATAGCGTTCAGCAGCCTGACTCCAGGCGGGCATGCTAAAAGTGCCTTTCACCTCCCGCATGTATTGTGCAGAACAAACATGGGCGCCAAGGCGAAAGCGCAGGCCGGCACTCGAGACCAATCAAATGGGAAACGCGGGTTGCCACTCCATCTCTTGCCGCGCAGCAGCGGCGACGGGCACTGGGCCCGAAGCCCTCCACCACCCTGCGCATGGAAATGCAAGAAAATCGCGTTCTCGCGCTATGACCACAAATCTTTGTCACGTGCGTTTTCTGTACTCCTAAACACCTCCGAACCTGAACAAAGCCTCGGACATGCACGCGGCGCATGTCAAACATCGGAGCATCAGAGTCCAGACCCAGAAACCCCATGGGCGGCGGTGGCACGCACGCCTAAATGCAAAACAAGCTTAAAAAGAACAGCGGCCTGGCCCCTGGCGCCCTGCACCCCGGGTCCGAGGCCCCACAGTCTAAAGGGCCATTTGACAATGAGCGTCAGGCACTGCACCCTCTTTGCATTAGAAACCACATATCTGCGACGATTCTGAATGATGAGAGCGGCGCGAATCTCGCCGACAACGCTCAACTTTCTGCGCGAATCGGCAGCGCGCAGGTTGCTCAGCGCGCGCAGCGCGACAAACCGCCGGTCGACGACGAGAGCGGGCTTCTGAGACGGGCGAACCTGGCATTGCGAAGGGCGCGCTTGGTAAATGCAATAAACGATGACAGCCTCGCGCGCAACTCCGGGGGGTCCGTGGGCAACCTGGGCGATGCAATGAATGGGGGCCATAGTGACAGCCCCAGCATGCCAGTTATGAGCAGCAGCAAGCATCTGGTTAGCAAATCTGAACCCACGGCAGATTCAGCAGACAGCTGGGGAGCACCCCGATGCAAGCTTCGACGCGTTCGAAGAAAACCAACCAGACTGAAACATGCTAGTGGCCACGTGCACCAGTGGCCCGAGATGCAAGCGGCGCGGCGGAAAGTTCCAGTCGCGCGCCAGCTTGGCCAGCTTGGAAGGTCAATCTCAAGACTTGGCGGGGCCCCAGCGGGCCGCGAAGTTGGCCTGCGCCGGCCAGCGGCTCCGAGGTTTCCAGCGACCCACTCCCTCGGCGGTGGTCCCCGAGAACAGCCCGCAAGCCCCGCGAAGACCCTTCGCTGCAGAACCTGATAGCTCAGGGGACACCTCCAAGGCCCCGCTCCACAGGTCTTGCGGCGCTCCGATTAGCATCCTAATCTGAGATGGGCTGGCAGCCCCATAATTACCCAAGCGGGACCCACGATGAAGCACGCATTCAAACGGCAATTGGGCGGCCCCAGGGCGCGCAACGAAGTGCCCCAGGGACTCGCATTTGTCTCGCTTCCGCCTCGAGCGGGCCTTCTGGGCCCCGAGCGGGGGCGCAACGATGAGCCAGCCCCCAATCGCCTGAACTGCTGCCCCCCAGACGAAGTGGCCGAGCAGGAATCCATCATTGCTTGGCTAGGATCGGCCAGGCCAGTCTAGGATCGGACAGCTGAGCTTGCCACTCCGCAATATAATGATTAGCTAGGCAACGGGCATGGGGGTGCGGAGCACGGAGATCAGCAAGCCGAGCACCGATTACAACGCGCATGCTGCGATAATCGTGGAAAGCAGCGGCGCGCATGCCAAGCTGATTCTGAGAGCCCAACAACCAAACGCTCGAAGCTGGCACGGCAACACATCCGCTCTTGATACCATGACCAAGAAGAACCGCAGCGCGCGCCCACCTGACATCTCCAACTCCACGACGCACATGCGCTTCCTACCCGCGCGCAGGCGCCACGCGCGCGCAAATGCCCAGTCGCTCTAGGCCGGGCCAATTGCATCGATGCGCTCGTGGAGCGCGCGCTGACGGATACGCCGCGCAAACCCATGGCGATGCGAATCCTGCGCCAGCCCCCGCTATGACATCTCAGCAATAAGATAGTTGCGCCAGGGGAGAGACGGACCCTGCGCTTGGACCGCCGCAAAAACGCGCCACTCTCATGCGCCTGGCACGGGGCCCCGCGCCCATGCGACAGTAAGTCTTGAAAAGGCGACGCTTCGACCTTCTCGGCTCGCCAAAGAGCGCGCTCGTCACGCCGGAAACAGCATGGTCGATGAGCGGCGCTGTCCCCGCGCTGCACGCATAATCAAAACCATCAGGGCGAGTGCCACGAAGGTGGGCCACCAGAAGAAATCCGCGCATCTCCACCAAACAAATTTCGAAATCATCGGGGACCACGGGGTGCTCAGAGAGTCGGCAAAAGGTGCTCGCGAGCTGAACCCATACAATATTCACCCCCGAGACGCCCAGGCCGCGCGCCGCGGGCGCTACTACTGCAGACACCGCGCGCCCGTGGGTCGCGTGCCCCACGAAAAATCCGACCATTTCTAGATCGAGCCTCGCGGGCTTGACCAGAGTGCGAAAGACATCGCTTGGAACAACGGGCCCTGCACGCGGCGGGCCCCGCGCCCCTTCGAGCGCCCTCTTCAGGGGGGCGGCGGGAACAGCGCGGGGCCCATGTGCCAACTCTGGAAAATCAAGCTTAGCCGAACGCAAGCCGGCGGTGAGCTACAAGCATCCGCAAACCCTACGGGCGCCATCCCATGATGCAACTCACCCAGGCATGATTTGGCAATGCTTCTCCAATCCGTGATGCTGCAACGCGAGGCCCCCGGTTCTCTGCGAATGCTGCGGCGGCGGCATGCGCGGCCGCCGTCGCGGAAAGACCCTTGAACGTGACGCCTGCACTATCAGGGGCCAACTTTGCACTTTGTTTCGCCGCCCTGGTGTTATCCCGCCGCCATGATCTCTTCCCCGCCCGCCATCGGTCGTCGGCCACGGGGCCCTCCAGCGACCTCCCGCGCAGGGCGGCCAGCTCGTCGGCGAGGCCAGAAGCAATGCCTCCAGTATCCGGAACTGCCACATACATGCCGCCACAATTCGCCGTCTCCCGGATCTGCTCCTCCATGATCACGAACTGCCAGGCCATGTTGAGCTGTGAACGCCTCCCAAAACACCGTTTGTCGAAATTGTGCGGCATCCACCGCGTGAAGGTCAGGAGCTTCGCCGACATAGCGCATGCGTGCATCATCAACTCGAATTTCGCGACCCCAAAATGGCTGAGCTGCACCACCTGCGCTTGCACCTCATGCGCCACCGTGGGAGCCGCTGTCGTTGCCGTTGCAGGCTGGGGTCGGGCTCGAGCCCCAAGTAACTCGCGGAACCTGCTTGGAATCACATAGTTGAGCTGACAGCTGCGACTGCGTCATTACATTCGCTTTCGTATGTAATATAATTATTCATCATCATGTTATTATTCTTCGTATTCACATGTCGCACCCTTTATTTCACCTTCCCGTAGTGCAATGGGCGCCTCGGACAGCTGATCCTCGAACTGCTGGACACCATTCTTGCGGTGATGGGCGCCTTGCGACACAAGCCAAACGGCATTGGACGCATTATCCACCTTGCGCGTGAACCTGGTGCGCTCGCGATTCGCCCCATCGGACGTCGTAGCCTCCATCCAACTGACCGCTTCTAACGAAGTCGCCGATCTTCGCGCAGCAACAAGCAAGACTTGGACAACAGCAAGCAGGACCCGGACAGCAGCAGGTTGCGGTTGTGGCTACTCGGGATTGCGTTTGGCCCCATCAGCGCCAGATCATTTAGGTTTGATACTATGATCACCTCGTTTGTACACTACCTTGCATTTCAAATAACACCAAGTCCAATATGACTGCTATTCTCGAGTGGCCGCTCGCGGGGAACACGTCGCACCGCGTCTTTTTACAGTCACTGTGCCTTTGCCGCGCCATGCCCCAGTTGGGACCGCAGAGGCCCCCAGGCACTGGTGCGCCAAGACATGGCGCGAGAGACTGGGAGAAAAACGTCCACGACTTTCAAGTTTTGTCGGCCACGGACTAGCGGAATTTACCCGGTTCACCTGAAACCCTTGCATCCTGAGCTTACATCTACGAAAGAAGACGCGTAAGGGAAGACATGGGGGGAAGGACCAAGAAGGGATAGTCAGGAGAGGGAGTCACAAATGGGGCGGGGAAACAATTGACGGGAAAGCAGGGAGGAAGACACAGAGGAAAACGACGAGGAGGACGTGGTCGACGCCAGCGTCCACGCCGACGCCGGCGCGACGACGACAACAATCGCAGGGGACCGATCGGGCGCGCGCCGGGGGCCGCGGCTTGATCGTGGTGAGGGACCAGGCGATCGTCGACAGGCACTGGACCTCGGAAGCGGACCCCCGAGGGGCAGGCCCCGCCCCGCCCGCCCGCCGCCCCTGTCAGACCAGGGGCGGACAGACAACGACGACGACGACGACGGCGACGATGACGACCACCAGGACGACGACGACGACGACGACCACGACGACGACGCGTGCGACGACGGCAACGACGACGGCGGCGGCGACGGCGACGGCGACGACGGCAACGACGGCGACGACCACAAGGACAATAACGACGACGCGTGCGGCGACGGCGACGGCGACGACGATGACGGCCACCAGGACGACGACGACACGTGCGACGACGGCGGCGGCGGCGACGACGAAGATGACGACCACCAGGACGACGATGATGTCGAGTGCCACGACAGCGACGGCGACGGCGACGATGACGACCAAAAAGGACGACGACGACGACGACGACGCATGCGACGACGGCGATGGCGACGGCGAGGGCGAGGACATCGATGACGACCACGACAACGACGACGACGACACCGACGACGACGACGACGACGACGACGACGACGACGACGACGACGACGACGACGGCGGCGGCGGCGGCGGCGGCGGCGGAAGCGGCGGCGGCGCCGACCTGGACGGCCACGATTACGACGGCGGCAGAGGGTAGCATGACGTTGGCGGCGGCGGCGGCCCCAGGTTTGCTCAATTTCTGCAGCCAGTGCCCTTCCACTGGGATCGGGGCGGGGGTTGCTGACGGGATAGAGGGGATTGTCAGTGGATGCCAATGTGGGGTATATCTAACCTAACCTGATCAATCAATGTTTCTCACCTGCCCCGAATGGCTTTGGGAGGATCGATACCTCCGCTGGGTGGGCGGAACCCGCTTCGCCCAGATCGCTAAGACCCCTGCGCCGCTTGGCGCAGCTCAAACCCACCCAGAAGCCCGCCGGGGCATCCACTGACGCCACCCCGGACGACGACGGCAACGACGACGGCGACGGCGACGACGACGACGACGACGCCCTGTCCCCACGCGACATCCCCCCGTACCCTCCTCCGCGTTATCCCACTGCTGCTTCTACAGGGTCGTTTCCACCACGTCTCGCCCCCGAGTGCGCACGGCAGGAGCAGCGCCCCGCGTCGCGCGGCAAGCGCTTCTTCCTACAGGCGAGGCGCGTCGGGGCAGGGTGGGCGACGGGGGAGGGCGGAGGAGGGGGACAGCGGGAGGGGGGATGGAGGGGGGCGGAGGGGGTGATGGGGGAGGGGAGGGGAGGGGAGGGCGACGGATGACGGGGGAGGGCGGGGGGGACGGGGTACGGGGCGAGGGGGAGGGAGGGCGACGGGGGAGGCCGGAGGAGGGGGACAGCGGGAGGGGGGGGTGGAGGGGGGAGCAAAGGGTGAGGGGGGGAGGGGGAGGGGAGCGGGGAGCGGGGCAGGGAGGGCCGAAGGAGAGGGCGGAGAGCGAAGGGTGGAGAGGGAGAAGGGCGACAGTGGAGGAGGAGGAGGAGGAGGGGGAGGAGGAGGAGGAGGTGGAGGAGGAGGAGGAGGAGGAGGAGGAGGAGGAGGAGGAGGAGGAGGGGAGCGAAGGGTCTGCGCGGCGGCAGGGCGACGGGGGGGCGGCGCGGAGGGAGATGCAGTCGGCCCGTATCATAAGGATGCGCGGTGAGCATGCAAGGGCCGTGGAAAGGCCGTTTCGAGGCTTTTTCCGAGCTGGGCGCGGCCAACGAAAGTGGCCAAGGATGGACCGAGGAGGCAAGGCTGCATGGGTACCCTTGGGAAGGCTTCCCATCCATACCATGCGGGTTGACTGCAATCACGAGGCTGGGGAAGGGGGCGATCGAGGGAGGGCGGCGGCGGGAGGCAGCAGGCGACGCACGACGGGATCGAGCTGCGGAGGGAGGCGGCCGCGGGAAGAGGGGCGAGGACTGAGGCGGTGGTGGGGCCAAGCAGGGCCGTGGACGGAGCGGCGGGCGTCGACGGAGACGCACGACCTCAAGCGGCGGTCTTCTGAAATACTGGGCCAGCCTCTACTTTTTGAGTTCTCTGGCGGTCGTTCCCTGGTCGGCGGGAAGGCGGGAAGGAGATGACAGGGAATGAGTGACGGCGGGAAGAGAGTCGGAGGGGGGCGGGCGAATGGAGGTTCGACAACGCGGCATGATAGCGTGAGGCCGAACGAACGCCAACTCGGCGGTGAACTGGTCTGGCACTGTTTCGGAAAACGTGGGGTGCTCGATTGGGGCGCGAGTTGGGGGGAGCACGCTCGACCAAACCCGTGTCAATGTTGGAAACGCGCTTTTCCTACGTTCGATCAGAAATCGAACACACCAAGAGGTATGCGCCGCGAGTCCGTGCGCAAAGACGTCTGCGGTGATCAGGCAACCGGGTCTGATCTCACACTGGCTTCGGCGGTGGCTTCGCCAGCACCGCATTGACGACCACCTACAAAGGGACGCCAAGCGTTTCATTTCTCCTCCTCCTCCTCCTCCTCCTCCTCCTCCTGCTCATGCTCCTCCTCCCCCTCCTCCTCCTCCTCCTCCTCCTCCTCCCCCTCCTCCACCTCCCTCCCTCCTCTTCCCTTTGCCATGGCATCAATAACACCGCAAATAAACCGTTCTAACGAAACGCCCCTTCGTCCGTCTCTTGTCCCTCCATCCTCCCGCTCCTGCCCCCCCCAACTAATTGCATTTCCCCATCCACCCCGCGCGCGGGCGTTGGCGTGGGGGACTCGAAACACATCAAGTGGGCATGCGATGCAGGACACTCTCTAAGACCCGGCGGGGTTGGAGGAGGCATCGGGCGCCGCGGCGCTTCCAGAGCGATCTGGGAAGCTCTGCAAGGATTTATCCTTACAGTGGGGGCCCGACCAAACCGTCCACAAGAAGCCCAACCCTGAGACCCCTGGGCGCGTCCACTTTTTTGTGTGGGCACGTCACGCTTTCCATGGCAAAACCCTCGAAACCCAAGACACCCAGGGCACCCTGGGGGCAAGCCAGGTGCTTCTTGGCATGGGTGTCCACTGTATCTTATGCCTGCCTGAGCTCCCTCTCCTTGGAGAAGGGCGCCTCTCTCGACCAGACGGCGAAGCGCAGAAAAGCGCTGCCATTAGCGCCCCTGCGGGTGCCGCGGGAGTGAACTTGCTGGCCAGCGGGCTGGGGCCATGGGGTTCGGGGCACCCTGAGTTCCGTGGGCTGGTCATGAGCCAAACCTTCTCCTGATCATCAGCTCCAGCCTCCTCTTTCTGTTTCTCCCCCCCCTCTCCACCTGCTCCCGCGAGAGATGCGAGCCTCGACAAAAACCCCAGATCGCATGGGGTCCTTCCACACGCGTGCGACCGAGCAGAAGCCGAACGCCGAGTTTGGAAGAAATAACTGCGTAAGAAGAAACGGAGGGGAGGGAAGGTAAGGGGAGGGCAGGGGAGGGCCCCTCCTCCTCCTCCTCCTCCTCCTCCTCCTCCTCCTTCTCCTCCTCCTCCGCCTCCGCCTCCGCCTCCGCCTCCGCCTCCGCCTCCGCCTCCGCCTCCGCCTCCGCCTCCGCCTCCGCCTCCGCCTCCGCCTCCGCCTTCTCCGCCTCCGCCTCCGCCTTCCGCCTCCTCCTCCGCCTCCGCCTCCGCCTCATCCTCCGCCTCCGCCTCCTCCTCCGCCTCCTCCTCCGCCTCCGCCTCCGCCTCCGCCTCCGCCTCCGCCTCCGCCTCCGCCTCCGCCTCCGCCTCCGCCTCCGCCTCCGCCTCCGCCTCCGCCTCCGCCTCCTCCTCCTCCTCCTCCTCCTCCTCCTCCTCCTCCTCCTCCTCCTCCTCCTCCTCCTCCTCCTCCTCCTCCTCTCCTCCTCCTCCTCCTCCTCCTCCTCCCCTCCCACCCCTCCTCCTCCTCCTCCTCCTCCTCCTCCTCCTCCTCCTCCTCCTCCTCCTCCTCCTCCTCCTCCTCCTCCTCCTCCTCCTCCCTCCCCCCCCTCCTCCTCCGCCTCCTCCTCCTCCTCCTCCTCCTCCTCCTCCTCCTCCTCCTCCTCCTCCTCCTCCTCCTCCTCCTCCTCCTCCTCCTCCTCCTCCTCCTCCTCCCCTCCTCCTCCTCCTCCTCCTCCTCCTCCTCCTCCTCCTCCTCTCCTCCTCCTCCTCCTCCTCCTCCTCCTCCTCCGCGCGCAGTGCTTGGATCTGAGATGGACCCCCCTCCCTGGCGCGCGGAGCGCGCCAAGGGCGGCGCCAGGGGCAGCGCCGGGGGGCCCGACGCCGCGTATCCAAGACACCCGCGCGGAACGCCAAAAGTCTACGTTCGGCCGTCGTTTCTTCTCCGAGTCGTCTGCTGTTCGTGGGGAGCGGCAAAGAAGGGGGTGTCCAAGAGGGGGGGGTGCAAATCATGCCCGGCGGCATGTGCGCGGCCCCAGGGGGAGGGGCCAGGGACGTCATGAGATAAGAAGAGGCGCCATGTGAAATCTGGGGAAATATCATTGCCCTCGCCATGATATCCACCCTCCCCTAGTCATCACCCCCCTCTTTGCCGCCCCCGACGCCGCGGATCCAAGAAATCCGCGCGGAACGCCAACAGTCTATGTTTAGCCGATTTGTCTTCTTCGAGTCGTCTGCTGTTCATGACAGGCGTGTTTTCCACAACCACCATAAGTTGGAGGGGGGGGGCCTCCTCCTCCTCCTCATCCTCCTCCTCCTCCTCCTCCTCCTCCTCCTCCTCCTCCTCCTCCTCCTCCTCCTCCTCCTCCTCCCCCTTCCCCTCCCCCTCCTCCTCCTCCTCCTCCCCCTCCTCCTACTCCTCCTCCTCCTCTTCCTCCTCCTCCTCTTCCTTCTCCTCCCCCTCCTCCTCCTCCCCCCTCCAACTTCTGGTGGTGGGGATGGTGGTGGAAAACAGGCTCGTCAATTCAACGGCCTCGGCGCTTCGTCGGCGTCGCCGGGGCGCCTCGGTCGCCGCGAGCGCGCCCGGGGCAGAGCCCCGCAGGCCGTCTGCTGGGCGGCGGGCGTGGAACTCGCCCGGCCGCCTGCGGAGCAGCTGCGCGGTCATGCTGATGGCGGCAGTTTGATGCTGGGAAGCGCTCTCGGGTGGGGGGAGGCGCGGCGGACGAGGAGGAGGAGGAGGAGGAGAAACCTGGAGGAAGACGAGGAGGAGGAGGAGGAGGAGGAGGAGGAGGAGGAGGAGGAGGAGGAGAGGGAGGAGGGAGGGGGAGGAGGAGGAGGAAGGGGGGAGGAGGAGGAGGAGGAGGAGAGGAGGGAGGAGAGGCGGAGGAGGAGGAGGAGGAGGAGGAGGAGAAGGAGGACGAGGGGGAGTAGGAGGAGGAACTAGGAGGAGGAGGAGGTGGAGGAGGGGGAGGAGGAGGGGCAACGGGGCGAGGCGACGCGCGCAGAGCCGAGGGAGCGGGGCCCTGGAGAGTCAGCGAGGCGGGGGCTGGGGACTTTTCACACCGTGGTGCCGGTGTGTACCTTGTTCGCAGAAGCTCGCAGAAAAACCATCGGGGGGGCGGGGAGGGCCCCACCTGTGGGCTGATTCGTGTGCCGGGCAAGCCACGCACAGCTCCTCCGCCGCCTGCTCCGTTCCTGTTCCTGAGCAGTAACCCCTCCCTGTCGCGCCCCGCGGCCGGTCGAAAGGGCGGGCCGGGCGTTTCGCCCGAGACTTCCTCACCGCATACGACCCTGAGTTTAAGCTGGCAACAGTTTCACAGGTGGAGGGCGGGTGGTTTTCAAGGTGTGGCTCTCGTCTTAGCGCCACGAACACTCGTCTTCACGATTTGCAAGAGGTTCACGGGTCGAGGGCGGGTGGTGTTCAAAATGGATTGCAAAAAAAAGATTGCAAAAAAACCCTTCGTTCAAAAAGGATTGCAAAAAAAAGGATTGCAAAATAAACGGTTATTTTTGCAATCCTTCGTTCAAAAAGGATTGCAAAAGGTTTTTGTTGCAATCCTTCGTTCAAGGGTTTTTGTTGCAATCCTTCGTTAAAATGGATTGCAAAAAAGGGTTTGTTTGCAATCTCTCGCCAAAGCGCCGCGCACACCCCTCCTCCTCCTCCTCCTCCTCCTCCTCCTCCTCCTCCTCCTCCTCCTCCTCTTCCTCCTCCTCCAACGATGGAGGGCCATGGAGGGCGGGTCGTTTTCAAGATGTGGCCCTCGCCTGACCGTCGCGCACCGTCGCCTCACAAAGTGGCATGAGCTTCACGGCTGAAGGGCGGGCCGGCTTCACAATGAACGGAGGATTGCAGAAAAAACCAAGGATTGAAAAAAACGTTTTTTTGCAATCCTTCGTTTTTTGCAATCCTTTGTTTGTTTGCAATCCTTCGTTTTTTTTGCAATCCGGCTTTTTTTTGCAATCCTGGGTTTGTTGCTGTCGCCTCAGCGCCGCGTACACTCGTCTTCAAAAATCAAGAACTTTGCGGGTTGATGGAGTGGAGACCCTATCAGAGAGATCTTTTGGAACGATTCAGGATTGCCAGTGCGCAACAATAAGGTTCATTCGCGGTGTTGAAGTCCCAGCAACGGCGTTCCGGCACGATTCAGGATCGTCTACCCTCAGTGGAAATGAATCCTTGTAAGGGGCCTATGAAGAGGGAGCTTGGAGGGAGGGTTTATGCCAACATCTTTGTTGAACCTTGGGCTTCAACTGGTCCTCCTGCTCCTCCACCACATATTGCTCCTCCTCGGCCATCATCCTGCCTCGCCACAAACCCCTCCTTACCGTCCTCCTCCTCCTCCTTCTCCTCCTCCCCGTCCTCCTTCTTCCCCCCACCAGCAATTACTCAATCTGAGTACCACTCCCCTCCGTCCCCTGCCAGCTCGCGGTTGTGCTACCGCCTCCCCCGCGCACTGCTCCGTCGCACGCATGATCTGCAAAGGTGGCTCCCAGTACGGGTGACCGATCGGAGCGTCTTCAGCCCTGCACAGAATCGCGTTCCCGCTGCAACGGTGACCAGATTTCAAGACGGGCACCGCTTTGCTGCCGTCGTTCAGAATGACGCTCTGGCCCTTGCCCAGGCCACACCTCTGGCCCTTGCCCAGGCTGTCGTTCCCGACCTCCTTCTGCCCCTCCCCCGCCTTACCCTTACCCTCCCGCTCCAGCTGCCCCTGTTCCAGCTGTTTCTCCTCCTCCTCATCCTCCTCCTCCTGCTCCTCCTCCATCTTCCTCTTAGGTCCTACGGTACGAGAGCTGCCGTTTCTGGTGGCGCAGCAGACGATGAAAGGAACTCAGCGCCATGGGCAGGGGTGGCTGGGAGGGCTAGACTGTCGGATGTGGCGCGAGCGCGCCTAGCTTGTCTCCTCCCGCCTCGCTCCCTCCCACCCCTCACCCCTCTCTCCTCATCCCCCCCCTCTCCCCATGCCCCTCTGTCGTCCTCCTCCTCCTCCCGATCCTCCTCCTCCTCCCTCCTCCAGGCGGTCCTGCGCAGCAGCTCCGAGGGGCTCAGCGACATCTTCGCCAGGGCCCACCTCGCGGTGCTGGCGGCCAGCGCGCGCGCGCTTCGGCGCCCGCCCGACTTTACTCCCAGGGGGCGGCGCAGACGACGGCGGCGACGACCGAGGGGGATGGGTGAACAGATTGGGCTCTAGACCTGCTCGTGAGCGTCGTCACTGAGTTTGATCGATCGTCCTTCCAACCTTTCCCCTACATTGGCCATCGGAGGGAGCTGACCCGACCCCCCTTTCCGCTGGCATCCCCCTTGAGATCCGACGTGGCCAAAAAATTGAAACATCGTAAAGCATCACGCCCGGAGCACAAATTAGACCCCATCTGTCTGCGTCTTTTCTCGAGCCAGATCGATATGCGAGTCTCCCAGGGCCAGAAGAGAAAGCCAAAACGCCCGGCTCGAACAAGTTGAGACGCCAGGATCTCAGGGCATCTGGAACTCTCCAGCCCTCTCCACTGTCTGGCTTCCAGCTCCGAAGGCCAGGAGATCTGAGCGTCCTCCCGCTGAAATTACCAGCCTCGAACTTATCCCTACCCCTGAGATTGACACGCCAAGAGGCGATGACAATCTTAGGGATGCGCCCTCAAAAAATAGGGAAATCCCTAAGATTGGCATCGTGATGAGGAGATGCCCAGCAGAGGGACAGGGATGTGCTCCAGGCTGGTAATGAAAACAAAATCACGCTGCGAATCAGACCCCTCCTTTCTGCTGGCATCCCCTCTGGGCCTCTCCAGCCCTCGCCTCGGCCTGGTCTCCGGCTCCGGGGCTGCCGGAAGATCTCAGCGCCCCCCGCGAAATAGAGCAAACGCTCAGCGTCGGACCGCCCTCCACGGCACCTCCCCGCGTGCCTTCTTCCGAGCCGCGTCCGGCCGCGGTGCTGCGGGAACGCCCGAGGATGTCCAGCGACCTGCAGGATCGAAGAAGACGAGGGTGATCGAGGATCGCGAACCGCGGTGCTGAGAACGCCCGAAGAGTTCCAGCGACTTCGGGGATCGAAGACGACGGGGAGGGTCGAGAATCGCAAATCGCGAGGATCGAGGAGGACGAAGGAAGATCGATGATCGGGGCAGAGATGATGCTGATGATGATAGTGCTGATGGCAGTGGTGGTGCTGATCATACGGATGGCGCCCCATAGAAGGCGGGCTGCTGCTCCAAAACTGCCCGAGAGGCCCCCTGCGAGGTCCCCAGGACTGCCCGAGAGGGTTCCGAGACGGTCCAGCGAGGGGCCCAAGACGGCCAAGGATCGCCCCAAGCGAGGCGAAGCGAGAGAGCACGAGCCAAACATCCTATCTTTCCGCCCCGAGAGGCCCCAGGAAACCCAAACAACTCCCAGGACGCCCCAAATCATCCCCACATTGTGCGCAACAGACCTGTGCGCCTCAACCGTAAACTCCACGCCTCTTTGGGGGGTTCAGCGGAATAGCGTATGCCTCTTGAAAAAGTGATGACGCGCCATGGAAGGCGGGCTGCTGCCCGACTTTTTGTTTGCCTCTCTCTGTCTCTCTCTCTCTCTGACCTCCCGAAAGGAGTCAATGAAGCACGAGTTTGATTCCAATCTCATCAAATTTGTTTTGATTCTCCTCCAACTTTGCGTGGAGCTTTTGAAATATGGGTTTGTGAAGTGTTGGTTAAGGCGGAGGGGGACTAAGATATAGCAGGATGATCGAGGATCGAGAGGATCGAGACACGTCCTCCTCCCGGGCCCACAGGAGGTTCGAGAACTCAAACGACTTGAACTCGGACAGTCGGGGCGCGGCCATCTCGTAGATGGCGGCGAAAAGCTGCTTGTTGCGGATCTGGGGGAGGCTTGGGGCAAGAGCGAGAGGTCCAAAATGGCCGCTGTTGATGTTGCTGCCCCGCCTCAGCCACGAACGTGCCCTGCGTGCCCCGTGCGTTCGGTCTGGACCGACAGCTCGTCTTCCGACGTGTGGACGTCGAGTCGAGAGCGACTGCGCGCCGCACGAGAGATGCGCGCGAGCCGCTGGTCAGGCCTCCTCTGCCTCCCCTCCTCTTCTGCTCACCAGCTCATAATGTTGTGAATCCCACGCGTTCCGGCTGTTCCACCCCATTCGCCCCTTCCTCCTATGGCAGGCTCACATCACGATGGTGTCCGCCTTGGTTACTGCCACCCCGACGTGGATCCTTGGATTTTGTGCGATTGCGGCTCTCCGATGGCGCAGATCGTTCGATGTCGGCCTGATCTGGGCCACTAGGGGCCGGTGTTCAAACTCCAACGCCCACGCTGGGGCCACCGCCGCGTAACGCTAGGAACAAACAACATCGGGACCACAACTACCACCACCATCGCGAAGATACAGGGAAGGTACTCCTAATAATGGCGTGACCCGTGACCCCCTCGGTTCGTGGTGTCCCGCTCGAAGCATCTTCAATCTCCCGCTCAAGGACGCACTGTGGACATCGAGTGTTGGTGGTGCTCTCTCTCTCTCTCTCTCCTACTACCCTGACAGCGCGGCACGAAATGCAGTACTCTCCCATCGGGCGGCCCTGGCGCGACCGTCATCCATGGCCCCTTCATCTCATGGCCTGTTCGCGTCGCAATGACATCGGCGCGGCGTAGATCGTTCGTTCCGTGTCACCAGCGGCCAGAAACCGTGCACGCCCGCGCAGGGGCCGTCGCCGCGTCAACGCGGTGCGAACCTGCCGAGCAACCGAAATACGCCGACTGGGGATGCCAAAAAGTACGCATACCGCTGCTCCCCGGACCGCTCCCAGGGCGCGCCCTGACCAAAACTTTCTCGAGGCGAACGTAGCGGTGGCGACGAGGGCCTCCCGCGAGGCCCAAAAAGAGGAAAACGAGGAAAAGGTAGAGGTATGGGTACCTTTTCCTCATCTGCCGCGGCAATGCGAGGCGAACCTGCCGTACAGTCAAAACGTGGCCCCAAGACCCTAGCTCATGGACTTGAGCCCCTTCGCCGAATGCCCAAGGCCCCAAACTGTGTACGCATACAGCCAATCACCGGCATAGCCCTCTCCTCCTCCCTCTCCTCCTCCTCCTCCTCCTCCTCCTCCTCCTCCTCCTCCTCCTCCTCTTCCTCCTCCTTATCCTCTTCCTCGTCCTCCTCCTCCACAATTACACAATATGAAAATACTCTCCCACTTCCCCTGATGGCGTCCCGAAGATATCCGACACCCCCCCGCGTATTGTTTTATTACACACAGGATTCCCGGGAAACGGGTTTTCGCTTGTTTTTTTTCAAAATGCTGCTCTCGCCGAGGCGCCGGCCTCATTTTCGGGCCCCGCTCGTTCCGAATGGTGCTCCCGCTGCAGCGCTGGCCTCATTTCCGTGCTTCCGCTCGTTCCGAATCGTGCTCCCGCTGCAGCGCTGGCCACATTTCCGCGTTTCCGCCCGTTTCGACTCGTGCTCCCGCTGCAGCGCTGGCGTCATTTCCCGTGCCATGCCACAGCACACGCGCACACGCACACACACACACACACCACCACCACCACCACCACCACCACCACCACCACCACCACCACCACCACCACCACCACCACCACCACCACCACCACTTCCACCACCAGCACCAGCACCAGCACCAGCACCAGCACAGCCACAACCACGCACACACGCACGCACGCACGCACGCGCACCACCACCCACTAGTCCGCGGATAGAGAAAACCAACGCCATGGTAAGGGATGGGAGGGAGGGGTAGGACGTCAGATATGACGCGCGCGCACCTAGCTTGTCCTCCTCCCCCTCCCTCTCCTCCTCCCTCTCCTCCTCCCTCTCCTCCTCCCTCTCCTACTACTTCTCCTCCTCCTCCACCACCTCCTCCTCACCGTCCTCCTCCTTCTCCCCTTCCTCCTCCTCCTCCTCCTCCTCCTCCTCCTCCTCCTCTCCTCCTCCTCCTCTTCTCCTCCTCCTCCTCCTCCTCCTCCTCCTCCTCCTCCTCCTCCTCCTCCGCTCCTCCTCCTCCCTCTCCTCCTCCCCCGCCTCCTCCTCCTCCTCCTCCTCCTCCTCCTCCTCCTCTCCTCCTCCATCCTCTTCTCCTCCTCCATCCTCTTCTCCTCCTCCATCCTCCTCCTCTTCCTACTCATCCTCTTCCTCCCTCTCCTCCTCCCTCTTTTCCCTTCTTTTCCGCCTCCTCCCCCTCCTCCTCCTCCGCCTCCTCTTCATCCTCTCCTCCTCCTCCTCCTCCTCCTCCTCTCCTCCTCCTCCTCCTCCTCCTCCTCCTCCTCCTCCTCCTCCTCCTCCTCCTCCTCCTCCTCCTCCTCCTCCTCCTCCTCCTCCCCCTCCCGCTGTGTTGTCTACAAGTTCTCCATCCTTGCTCCTTGCGCCCGTCCTGTCTGCTTCCCATCTGGCTTCTTCCCCCGTCCTCCTCGCATCACGCTCTCGCGCTGCACTGTCTTCCCGAATAATCGGCGCCACTGCGCCACCGCTCCGTTCCTAGTGGGACCGCGCCCCGGCGCGATGGGAGCGTCCGTCCGTCCGTCCGTCCAAGGCCCTATAGAGATGCCCCTAAGCGAAGACCATTCCCGGGGTTGGTGGGCCCAAACGCGAAGAACAGAAGGGCATCACTCTCAAGCCAGAATTGGTCTTGACCCTCGTGCCAGCGCCCGTGGGGGGGTCTGCGCAGATCCAAGAGATCCGCGCGGACCCCCGAAACTGTGTATATATAGATATATGTATATACATATACATCTATATATACATATATATATATATATGTATATATATGTGCTGGCTGTCTACCTGGAGGCCCCTGGTAGAGGCCTCCCAGATGAGGTCCGAGTAAATGAGGTCGGGGGATCGCGCCGCATCGCTGAGAGATCGGCGATACATTGCCGATACATCGGCGATGCATCGGCGCCATCGGCGTGGAGAAACTCGGGCTCAACATCGAGCCTCATCGCCGATGCATCGGCGATGTAGCGCGTTCCTCCGACCCCATCTGCTTGGACCCCATCTGGGAGGCGTAGAGCTGCTTCGTATTGCTGGGATCCCCGGGGCGGCGATCGGCGGCTTTTCGATTGCAGAACTTTTTAACTTTCAACTGATCGGCGGCGTGTCGATCGCCAGATCGTTCCGTACTGGCCGATTCCGGGCCTCTGACGGCGCTCAAGCCTGAACGCCCGCGTTGGGGTCGTCGCCGCGTCGTCACGACACGAACCTGTCGTATGCTCGGCGACTCCGCAGGGCGTGGCCTGCAGAGGGTGTGGCTCCAGACCCTCACCCGAGGAGGGCGGGCGAGGGCCTCGACCGAGCTCTCCGCCGCGCCCCGACGAGGGCAGCGCGACGCCCCCTGGGCCCCGACGACGCCGATCGCACACTGCACCCCCCCCCTGGCGCAACGGCATCCTGTGTGGTCGCCAACCTGCTGCTGACTACCTACCAGACCACCCCAACCCAACCCGAAGACCCGAATTTCGGGTTGGGGGGGGGTAAGGGTTTCATATGTGTTTTCTCAACATTCCCCAACCCCCCCCACTGGAAATGGAGGGCAATTTGGAGCCTTCGGGTTGGGTTGGGTTGGGGTGGTTTGGTGGGTGGTGAGCTGCTGCGTCGCCCGACGGGATCCTCAGGGTGGCCCCCTTCCTCGGAAGGCCGGGGGGGGCTCCCGGGAAGCCCCACCGCCTCCTGCGAAGGCTGGCTCCTTCCACTTCCCCCGGGGGCGCGCCGCCGATGGAGGAGGGGGGAGGACGGAGGGGGAGGAGGAGGAGGAGGAGGAGGAGGAGGAGGAGGAGGAGGAGGAGGAGGAGGAGGGGGAGGGAGTGAGGAGGAGGGGGAGAGGAGGAGGAGGGGAGAGGAAGGAGGAGGAGGAGGGGGAGGAGGGAAAGGAAGGGAAAGAGGAGGAGGAGAGGAGGAGGAGACGAGAGGAGATGAGAAGATGAGAGAAGAGAAAGGGAGGGGACGAGGAGGAAGAAGAGGAGGAGGAGGACAGAGGAGGAGGAGGAGTTCCCTGGCCCCGGGGGCGGCCGTCAAACAATCGCCGCGCGGTCCTGCAGAGTCGCGCAGCACCACGCCACGATGCTCAGCGAGTGCACGGGCATCTCCTCGGACGCCGGGGCCAGCGCCGACTTCGCGTCGTGGCGCAGGCTGCGGGCACGCAGGTGGGAGGGTGGAGGGGACTGGCGAGCCATGGCAGTGCTCCTCCTCCTCTCCTCCCCCTCCTCCTCCCCCCTCCTCCTCCTCCTCCTCCTCCTCCTCCTCATCATCATCATCACCATCATCATCATCATCCTCACCCTCACCCCCATCAGCATCACCGGCATCAGCATCATCAACATCATCATCAACATCACCCTCATCATCAAACACTTCATCACCATCATCATAATCACCATCACGATAACCATCGCCATCATCAACAGCAGCAACACCAGCAGCAACAGCAGCAGCAGCATCATCACCATCAGCATGTCATCACTATCACCATCATCACCAACATCATCATAACCATCAGCACCATCAACAACAACATCAGCCTCATCAACGCCATCATCATCAGCAGCAGCGTCAGCATCTGCATCCGCATCAGCACCATCACAATCAATACCATCCCAATCACAATCAACGTCATCATCATCATCATCACCATTACCATCACAACAACACCACCATCATCATCACCATCAACATCATCGTTATCATCACGGGCATCACCACAATATCCAACATCACCATCATAATAATCATCAGCCGCATCATCTCCACTATCAGCATGATCATTCTAATCAGCATCAACACCCTCAACATCAACATTATCATCACCATAACAATCATCATCACCATCACCACCATCACAACCATCATCACTATCATCGTCGCCATATCATTTGGCGGGGAGGGACTGGCGAGCTGTGGCAGTCACGGTGACTCGCGGCGCGGAAGTCAGGAATGGTGCTTTGGCACGGTTGATGATGATTCAGACGGTTGTGCTCCAGTGGGGCACTTCCCGCAGTGAAAATAAATTCTTGTAGGGACCTATGAAAGGGGGGCATTGGTCAGCGGTAGCGACTATGACGACCTATGGAAAGCTATGGCGTCTCAAATGGAATCCGAGCAGATCGGGTCGGAGGATCGCGTCGAATGGCCGATGCATCGGCGACGCATCGGCGATGCATCGGCGAGGTCGGCGTGGAGAACATCGGGCTCCACATCGCGACAGAACGGCGACACATCGGCGACACGGCGCGATCCTCCGACCCCGCCAGCTCCGACCCCGTTCCACTACTCGCAAAGTAACTACTCGCAAATGGCCTTGATCCGCCGCGGGGGATTTACGATACATGACATCGAGCCAGACGTGTGTTTCTTCGGACGTTTGCGAGTAGGCACTGTGCGAGTAGCGGAACGCGTTCGTTGAATCTGGGAGGCCCAGAGCCCAGAGTTATGTTGTTTCCATTCTGCTTGAGGACCACATCCCAGAAATATCCGAAACAAAACATCAAAAGAGTATCGAAACAGTGTCGGGCGAATGTCTCCCAGGGCCCGACACGTGAACACCCTTGAGTTTCGGTACTTCTTCTGGCGCTCGAAATTCTCTCTGGTGATCAAGGCTAAAGTAGGTTGGAGCATCATAAGCCCCGAGGCAGTGGTCGCGGCGCCGCGCACGCGGCGCCACGGAGGCGCAGCAGTTGGCACAGAAGCGCCGGGCGAGCGAGCGCCTGGGAGAGTGCCTGGGCGGCCGCGAAGGGGAGCCTCACAGGAGCGGGCACCGCCCGGAGGCGCCCCCGAGGGGCACGCGGCGGGAGGGGGGGGGGCTACGAATTGTGCTGACAGGGCACGGGTGCTTCTGCAGGGGAGCAAGCCATGCCGGAGACAGCAAGAGGTCCGCGCGGGTTCCTCGGATCGGCGCTGGGGCCCCCTGGCGGCGCCTCCGGCGCCGCTCCAAGAAGGCTGCGAGGGGGGGGGAGGTGAGAAGGAAAAGGCCTTCTCAGAAGACGGCGGGACTTCTCAGAAATCCTGGCGCTCTCTGAGAGGTTTTCTGTCTCCTGGGAAGGCTTAGGACACTTCTCAGCAGGCAAGGAGACTTCCGATCCTAATGGTAAGGCCCGCCCCTTCTAACTTCCCCCCGGGCTCGCCGCCGAGCTCATTCGGCTTGAACCGCCACAACGAGAAGGCTTCAACAGTTGACACAAGCATATCATCAGTGACGCAGTGCGCAAAAATCGTCCACCTTGCCAGTGAGTGGCCTCATCACCATTATCTTGAATTCAATTCAATTTTGTCTACCCTGCACCCGCTGGCTGTTCTGGAGCAGTCGAAGAACTGACAGACAATCTGCCGTAGCTAAAATTAGCCTGGCGAAGGATCCAAACATATGCAGTTCTGAGTAACGCAGTCGTGAGTATCGTATTCGGTGGGGCTCCCTATGGGGCCACAAAACGTGTGAGAAACGTTCCAAAATGGGTGGCGGGGAATCATGTGGGCACCGCCACTGGGGCCATCGGTGGAGCTTCCTATGGGGCCACGAAACGTGTGAGCGGTGTGTCGAAATGGGTTGCGGGGACGCTTATGGACTGCGCCGCTGAGGCCTTCGGTGGAGCTCCCTATGGGTCCACGAAGCGTGTTAGGGGTGTGCCGAAATGGGTGGCGGGGACACGTCATTGGGGCTTTCGGCTGAGCTTCTTATGGGGCCGCGAAACCAAGGGGGGGGCCGAATTGGGTGGCGGGGAGCCATGTGGGCACCGCAACTGGGGCCTTCGATTGAGCTACTTATGGGACAACGAAGCGTGTGAGAAGTGTGCCGAAATGGGTGGCAGGGGGGCATGCGGGCTGCCCCAAGGTGGCCTTCGGTGAAGTTCCCATGGGGCCACGAAGCGGGTGAGGGGTGTGCTGACATGGGTGACGGGGGCTGCGGGCTGTCCCACTAGGACCTTCGGTGGGGTTCCCTATGGCCAAGAAGCGTGTGAGAGGTGTGTCAAAATTAATAGCGGGCACGCATGCGGGCTGCGCAACTGGGACCTTGGGCGGAGCTCCCTACACGGCCACGAAACGTGTGAGAGGGGTGTCGAAATGGGTAGAAGGAGCGCATGCGGTCTGCGCAACTGGGAACTTCGGTGGAGCCCCGTATGGGCGGCTGCAACGCGCAAGGCAAAAAAAAACCTTACAGGTATAAACGATTTGTTTTGCCTGTGGCGTTTTGTTTTGCCTTGCGCGTCGGGTCCCCGGGGCACTGGCCGGGGCGCGCGCGCCGGGCGGGGGGGTGCTCCTCCGCTTCCCTCGGCCTGGCTCACAAAAGGAATCGCGACCAGGGTTTTTGCCTGCGGCGCTCCTGGGGCCCAAAGAAGGAATCGCGACCTGGGTTTTTACCTGTGGCGTTTTTTTTGTTGCCTTGCGCGTCGGGCCTCCGGGTCTTGCCGAGAGCGCGCGCGTGTAGAGGAATTGCTCCCCTGCTCTCCTCCGCGTCAGTGGCGCTCCTGAAGCCCAAAGAAAGAATCGTGACCTGGGTTTTTGCCTGTGGCGTTCTGGGGCCCACAGAAGGAATCGTGACCTGGGTTTTTGGCCTGTGGCGTTTTACTTTCGCCTGCGCGCTCGGGCCGGGCGGACGGAGGTGCCATGCGGACGCAGCCACTGGAGCCTTCGGTGGAGCTGCATATGGGGCCACTACCCGTGTGAGGGGTCGACAGTATGATGTATCGTCGAGTTGGCACGCGACTACCTTAACGGGCGGGTCTGATCAGGCGGGCGGGACATTGCTGTATGATGTATCATCGAGATGGCACGCAAGGGCCCCAACCGGCGGGTCGGGTCGGGCGGGCGGGACATTAAAGCATGATGCATCTTCGGGTTGGCACGGGTCGGGCGGGCGGACCCTAACGGGCGGGTCGGGTCGGGCGGGCGGGACACTAAAGTCTGATGCGCGTACAGCGTGACACATGAGAACCCTAACGGCCGGGGCGGGACGGGCGGACCCTATCGGGCGGGTCGGGCGGGCGGGCCCTAACGGGCGGGTCGGGTCGGGCGGGTGGGACACTAAAGTCGGATGCGTATACTGCATGACATATAAGAACTCTCACGGGCGGAGCGGGACGGGGCAGACCCTAGCAGGCGGGTCGGGCGGGCGGACCCTAACGGGCGGCTGGGGACAGGCGGGCGGGACACTAAAGTCTGATACATATACGGCATGACGCATGAGAACCCTAACGGCCCGGGCGGGACGGGCGGACCCTATCGGGCGGGTCGGGCGGGCGGACCCTAACAGGCGGGTCGGGTCGGGCGGGCGGGACACTAAAGTCTGATGCGCATACAGCGTGACACATGAGAACCCTAACGGGCGGGACGGGACGGGCGGACCCTATCGGGCGGGTCGGGCGGGCGGACCCTAACGGGCGGGTCGGGTCGGGCGGGCGGGACACTAAAGTCGGATGCGTATACAACGTGACACATGAGAACCCTAACGGCCGGAACGGGACGGGCGGACCCTATCGGGCGGGTCGGGCGGGCGGACCCTAACGGGCGGGTCGGGTCGGGCGGGCGGGACACTAAAGTCTGATGCGAATACAGCTAGACACATGAGAACCCTAACGGCCGGAACGGGACGGCGGACGAGGCGACCCTAATCGGGCGGGTCGGCTCGGGAGCGGACCCGAACGGGCGGGTCGGGTCGGGCGGGCGGGACACTAAAGTCTGATGCGTATACAGCGTGACACATGAGAACCCTAACGGGCGGGACGGGACGGGCGGACCCTATCGGGCGGGTCGGGCGGGCGGACCCTAACGGGCGGGTCGGGTCGGGCGCGGGACACTAAAGTCGGATGCGTATACAGCATGACACATGAGAACCCGAACGGGCGGGGCGGGACGAGCGGACCCTATCGGGCGGGTCGGGCGGGCGGACCCTAACGGGCGGGTCGGGTCGGGCGGGCGGGACACTAAAGGCTGATGCGCATACAGCAAGACACATGAGAACCCTAACGGGCGGGGCGGGATGGGCGGGACGGGTGGACCCTATCGGGCGGGTCGGGCGGGCGGACCCTAACGGGCGGGTCGGGTCGGGCGGGCGGGACACTAAAGTCGGATGCGTATACAGCGTGACGCATGAGAACCCTAACGGCCGAAACGAAACGGGCGGACCCTATCGGGCGGGTCG